TCATAATTGCCATCATCACATACTTCATTATCTAGAGTCAATGCATCTCCACAAACAGGATAACAATATTAGGATTTTAGCTTGTAACCAAATTAACATTAAATGCATCTTCCATATTCACATATTTTACAATTTTTGGCACACTAGAATTTGCAATTGAAACAACCATCAAAAGGAATTAAGTTCCCGTCGTCACATTCCTCTGTTCCATAAATTAAATTATCTCCACAAATTGGTATACACTAATTACTTAAATCCAAAAAATTCCACCCCTCAAAACAATTAAAACATTTGCCAGCTATATAATATGAGCATCCAGGAATTAAAGATTATTCATCGAAAAATTGTTAAATTGGATAAATCATCTCTATAATACTCATCTAGTAATCCTCAATTTCTTTCATTTTCAGCCCTCCTCCAACATTGAAAAAGGCTGATGCAATATTACCCTTGAATCCTGCATAATTGTAGTCTTTTCCTATATAAATTTAGTAGTAAGGAACTTGGAAGTGATTGATATTTTCATATGTTTATATTTCTGCTGAATCCTTCCATCGAATTGAAGCAATTGCTTTTTTCTAAGGCCTTGAATATCCAAATTAAACATAATACCATTCGGTGTGTTTATTTTAGTGAAGAATGTTTTTAACTACATTTGCATTTCCAGAACCTTCCAAATTATCATATTTATAAGTTGCTAAATGAATGATGCCTCCATCCGATTTTCCAACCCAGGCAGCAAATGTTCTATCTCCAAAAAGCCCATCAGATTATCCCTGTTAGATTGTTACCCTAAACATGATATGCCATTCTTCTTGTACGTTTGGTACTTCCCATTTGAACCATCCACTTAGTGAATATTCTTGCGGGAATTAGGGATTATTTGATATTCCTACAATAGAATAAACTTCTTTTGTATCAGGATCCCTGTATTATAAATTTGAGACCAATTGATACGTAATTAATTCAGGGATCAAATCATTTGGTTATGTATATTATTACAACTTACTAATAGAACCAGAATCAGAATCAAGGAAAACACCTGGCTCAGTACTGAAATAGATTTAATTGAATAAACCATTAAACCCATCATATCTATTATTATCTTTACCTCCAACTGTAAATCTAAGCCATTTTGTTGATGGATTCTTAACTTAATAATTAACATTTTTAAAATTTTCACTCCCAAATTTGATAAACGCAACCGCCCTTTATTTCTATGCACTGTATGAATAGTAAATATAAGTCCATATACCATCAAAATCTTCTGGGTAATTAACCTATTGAACCATATTAGGTTCCTAATTTACTTCATCGCAAGTTGCCAAATAATAATATCCTTTACCCACCCAAACAGCTAAAATTCTACTTCCCATTTTCTTATTTTTATTTTACTAATCTGCACTTAATCTAGAAACAAAATAATGGTCTTAATTTTTTCCACCAGGTAGGAATTTTGGATATGCTAATAAAAATTTAGCCCAATATCCATAACCATATTCTTTGAATGGTTCTTAATTTTCTTTTGTTTTCTCATAAACAGGATCTATATTAGTAAATTCTGCTTCCTTCATTTAGTTTAAAGAATCTGAATGACCTCCTTATAGAATTCTATAATTTAGTTTCATTTAGATTGATTATTTAGGATAGTTAGGTTTTTAAGTTTCTTATTATCCTTAATATTATTCATTTGGTTTTCCAGTGATAGCTACTTTTTCATCATCAACTATTGGTTTAATTCTAACATCTGTTCGTAGACCGTCCGGACATAATTTAGCAACTTCCCTAATTTCTTCAGCTTTATCATTGATAATGTTGACCATAGTCTAACTTATTTAAATGATGTTACATATGGTTCTTACTCACATTATTTTCTCAAATATTCCCTCTCATTCATTAATCTATTAATTAACTCTTCTATTTTATTGCACTATAATTCCAAGTCTTTATCATTCCCAGTATCTAATTACCTTATTAATCCTAATAATTCCATAGCGCCTTCTCTTCTCCAACTTTAAAAAGGTGTAATTTATAAATATTCTACACTTATTTAACTTATAATATCTGAGAATGAATTTTGGAATTACCACAATACTTGTACTATAAAAAACATTGAATACCAGACAATGCATCATTATAACCATTTCCACGATAAAATTATAATGATATCTTTAGCTACAAAAGATTATTTGAATCTGTAATGATCTAGTCCCAATTCTCTAAGATTTCTGACCATGCATCAATAGATGTGCTCACTTCTTTCAATATTGGACTACATCCTAATTAGTTAGTCTCTAAATTATGCAAATCACTTAAACTATGCAATATTAGATTACTACCCAATGAAATAAATTGATAAGCTAAATTTACTATAAATTAAGACCTTCAAATATGCAAGCAAGTAATAAAACTATAAGATGGGCTTAATTATTCATTAATAATTAAAATTAATGTTCTACCACACCACATCATTTTAATTTCAAAAACTTTAATTATTCCAATGTATAAGGAATTAAATCTATACACACATTAGTATGAATTTTCATTAAATTTTTCTTGCCAAAATTTCTTATTTAAATTGGTAGGTTTAATTCTTCAATCACTTTCTAATAAAAATTACATTTCTATCAGAAAGCCTTATCTGTTCACCTTAATGTTGCTTAATCATTATAAAAATAGTAATTTATTTTATACAATTTAGAATTCACATACAAACTAACTCAAGAATGTAAATATTTTACAAAATTTTTAATAATAATTTATATTTAAAAATATCCTTTTTTATGAATGAGAACACATTTAATAACATTGATGACCACATAATTAATTCAGAAATCTACGAATATTGCGTTAATTTTCTATCCAAATGAAGTTATTTTATACAAGATTACTTCATTGTTTGTATCATATTTTATTTCTGAATAACAGAGCTCGATCCCACACATTACCTAAAATATATTTTATATTGTTTTCTTATGCGTTATAATCTTGATGATCTTTTACTTTGAGTGCTAAATATTTTAATTCAATAACAACATCACTTCAAACAAAAATAGTTATATTTGTGATAACGGGTTAATGATAATAATGTCAATTCTAAATACTTTATTTTCAAAATTGATTGAGTTTGCTAAACACCATTATTTATTGAAATTGATTAAATAAAATATAAATTTATAAAGAAATCTAAATTAATATTCCAGTTCTATAATGTGAGAGGAAATTATTGTATTTTATTAATGAATATTGATAATCAAAAGGCGTAGAAGGCTTATATTATTATGATTGACTTATATTCATTTGTAAAGTATTCCTTCGTTTGCTTTTGAATTTTAATCCTGATACAAATAAATCCTAAAATTTAAAAACAAGTAAAGTTCGTTCGGCAAAACATGAAAGATAATATTTTCAGTCATCCTATCAGGTGCTATTGCAAATACTTTAATTGTTGTTTATCTGCTATCACGATCCCACATCCAAAACCTTGAAGTATTGATTTAATATGCTTATAAAAATTACACTATTTTGAATCATCAAGTTTGGCAAAAAAATATCCTTTTACAAGAGTTGGGTTTGTGTAGAGTTAATTTCTTAAAGGATTATGTTCAATTCCTGTTGGGTGAAAATTTTGGTTTTTCCTGACTATTGAACTGCTCCATTTTATTATTAAATTTAAAAAACAATAAAAAAAACATTAATTTGTTTATACCTCTTTATAATTTTCACTAAAAATGGATGCTTTTCTTAAAAGATAAAGATCATTTTAAGAAATTTTGCATGGATGCATCATCTGCTAGAAATAGCACAATTCTGAGTACCCGAATACAAAAAACAAAAGCAATAATTTAATAAAAGATATTAATCTAAAATATTAAAAATTTATTTTTATTTGTTTTGAATACTAATATAGAGGGAATAAAACCATTAAAAACTAATTATTTTTATTTTTATTACTTGATCTTTCTACATCATTATTAAAAATAAATTTCTCTATTAATATTTTCGATTGATATAGAAATTGGTTTCATTATTTTAAGACTTTATAATTATTTCTTCAAGTTATGTTGATTAATGAGTGTAAATTATAATAAGAAAATCAGAATAAATTCATTGTTGATTGATTATGTTATCAAAATATTAATCTCTAAAGAGAATCGAGCAAAGTAATGCTTAAAATTCAAAATGCTTATCAGAGTCAATGTAAGTATTTACATATCTCAAAGTTCCTTTAAGAATATTAATTACAAATATTGATTTTGGCAAAAGCTCTAAGGTTTTGTGACAGTTTCTATCTCTCTATATTCAAATATTTCATAAACGTGATCAAAATTTTCTTAACAATTAGAAGATTCTGGTAAATTCGTAATAAGAATTTCAAAGTTCAGCCTTTAATGAGTCTCAACTCTCTGCTAATCATACTCTCAAAATATGTGAAAGAATATTTCAAAAGATATTACATTTAATCTTAAATTCTCAAAAATGATTTTTATATTAAATTTACTCATCTAATGATAGGCTAATAACAAGAAATTCCATAATTTATGTATGAATCTAATTATTTGATGTTGTTTTTTGATTTTTCAAATATTCCTTTCCTACTCTCTCAGAGAATCTCTATTAAAAAGATATATTTCTGTACAATTTAAATCAAATCCATATTTCTTAGAGGATGGAGGAAACTCAATATACTTTAAGTATCTGACTTCCCCCACATTAAAAAATTATGCAATAATTTAATCAATCTATCTAAGTGTAGAAAATATTGCTGCCACTAAACAGCAATTCAGTGATAGTCTAAATATTAAGGTCTGTAAATAATCAAAATTAATCAAGATCTTTGAGTCATGTGTTGCTTTCTAGTTAAAAATAAAGCTATAACCATAAAAGAGAAAGGCAATTTTCCATTTGAATTGCTAAATGGCTTATTTATTTCACATTTTACTATCTTACCGTTTATCAAAATTACAATAAATTTTAATGTAGATCCTTTTAATCCTTGTATTCTGAAGTTAGACATCCTTCCATATCAAAGAATTTTATCTAAAAAGCATGTTCACTCTACTAAGGCCGTTGAGTTAATCACCTTAACAAATGCACTTAGACCTCAGTCTCTTCGGTAGGATGTGACATCTTTATATATTTTTTCCTACTCATCATGAATATTTGTGATAACAGAAGCATTACATATCTTAGCCAATCTATCATAAACATTCCTGACAAGTTCTTCATCTTTCTTATTTTCTGACTTCAACAGTTTCTGTCTTTATCTAGCCATCTTCCTTTCACTCTTTTTAATAATTCTTACTAATACTCAATATTCATTCAACTGGTAGGAATCAAATATTTACCCAGAGCTAGCTGTATCACTCCAAATTTCTCAATTGTTTCTGATTTCCATTTTCCTTCACTCAGCCTCATTGATTTCCAAACTTATAAATTTGATTTGGTCTAAGGATCACTTGCCCACATGATCTAATCGAATTTAGTTGAACTAGACTAGGANATTAATTTGTTTATACCTCTTTATAATTTTCACTAAAAATGGATGCTTTTCTTAAAAGATAAAGATCATTTTAAGAAATTTTGCATGGATGCATCATCTGCTAGAAATAGCACAATTCTGAGTACCCGAATACAAAAAACAAAAGCAATAATTTAATAAAAGATATTAATCTAAAATATTAAAAATTTATTTTTATTTGTTTTGAATACTAATATAGAGGAAATAAAACCATTAAAAACTAATTATTTTTATTTTTATTACTTGATCTTTCTACATCATTATTAAAAATAAATTTCTCTATTAATATTTTCGATTGATATAGAAATTGGTTTCATTATTTTAAGACTTTATAATTATTTCTTCAAGTTATGTTGATTAATGAGTGTAAATTATAATAAGAAAATCAGAATAAATTCATTGTTGATTGATTATGTTATCAAAATATTAATCTCTAAAGAGAATCGAGCAAAGTAATGCTTAAAATTCAAAATGCTTATCAGAGTCAATGTAAGTATTTACATATCTCAAAGTTCCTTTAAGAATATTAATTACAAATATTGATTTTGGCAAAAGCTCTAAGGTTTTGTGACAGTTTCTATTTCTCTGTATTCAAATATCTCATAAACGTGATCAAAATTTTCTTAACAATTAGAAGATTCTGGTAAATTCGTAATAAGAATTTCAAAGTTCAGCCTTTAATGAGTCTCAACTCTCTGCTAATCATACTCTCAAAATATGTGAAAGAATATTTCAAAAGATATTACATTTAATCTTAAATTCTCAAAAATGATTTTTATATTAAATTTACTCATCTAATGATAGGCTAATAACAAGAAATTCCATAATTTATGTATGAATCTAATTATTTGATGTTGTTTTTTGATTTTTCAAATATTCCTTTCCTACTCTCTCAGAGAATCTCTATTAAAAAGATATATTTCTGTACAATTTAAATCAAATCCATATTTCTTAGAGGATGGAGGAAACTCAATATACTTTAAGTATCTGACTTCCCCCACATTAAAAAATTATGCAATAATTTAATCAATCTATCTAAGTGTAGAAAATATTGCTTCCACTAAATAGCAATTCAGTGATAGTCTAAATATTAAGGTCTGTAAATAATCAAAATTAATCAAGATCTTTGAGTCATGTGTTGCTTTCTAGTTAAAAATAAAGCTATAACCATAAAAGAGAAAGGCAATTTTCCATTTGAATTGCTAAATGGCTTATTTATTTCACATTTTACTATCTTACCGTTTATCAAAATTACAATAAATTTTAATGTAGATCCTTTTAATCCTTGTATTCTGAAGTTAGACATCCTTCCATATCAAAGAATTTTATCTAAAAAGCATGTTCACTCTACTAAGGCCGTTGAGTTAATCACCTTAACAAATGCACTTAGACCTCAGTCTCTTCGGTAGGATGTGACATCTTTATATATTTTTTCCTACTCATCATGAATATTTGTGATAACAGAAGCATTACATATCTTAGCCAATCTATCATAAACATTCCTGACAAGTTCTTCATCTTTCTTATTTTCTGACTTCAACAGTTTCTGTCTTTATCTAGCCATCTTCCTTTAACTCTTTTTAATAATTCTTACTAATACTCAATATTTATTCAACTGGTAGGAATCAAATATTTACCCAGAGCTAGCTGTATCACTCCAATTTCTCAATTGTTTCTGATTTCCATTTTCCTTCACTCAGCCTCATTGATTTCCAAACTTATAAATTTGATTTGGTCTAAGGATCACTTGCCCACATGATCTAATCGAATTTAGTTGAACTAGACTAGGAATTCAGGTAAGTAATTTCCATTAAAGTTAAACCAGATCAATTTCAAAATTAGAAATACATTAAGATTTTTGTAATTAAGCAGAGTTCTCAATATTGATTTATTAAGGATTGGCCTGTCTAATATTTTTGAATTTCTCTCCTCCCTCTTTCTACTTATTATATTAATATGTGGTTTATTTTCCTATTGGTCCTATCATTACCTCTATCCTAGGTTTCTTTGAACTATATATAGATCAGTAATTCCCAACCTTTCAAGAAGATCCTTCTATAAAAAAGTTCTCATATTCACATAGGAATGAGAATTCATACAGCAACCCCCTTATACGTGGCTATAATATATGTTTACCAGTCACCTAACGTGTTATGAAGGAAAATTGATTTAAATTAATAAATAAAAAAAAATAAATCTTTGAATTATCATAATCCGTTTCATAAAACATATCTGGTGTAATCAGGAAAATATAAAATACATTATTGTTAAATCACTACAATAAGTTACCTATGATAGAGAAGGTCGAATTAAAGAAGATATACCTAATATATAAAGCAGGGAAAAATATATAAGTACCCAAGTCAAAAAATTTTGCTCTACTATGTGGCAAATGGTATAGCTTGATATGATTCTATTCATGCTATGGAATGAAAAGACAATGTACTTCTTATAGGTTTATAGAAATATGAAAGAAGCCCTCTCAATGAAAAATATGAAGTCGCTTTATATATTAAACTTTAGGGTTAAGCCAATTGGAGAATTAAATTAATAAAATAATTGCAATTGATGATAACTAAGCATATGATAATGAGTTTCCC